ATACTATATGATGATCCAAGGGTACCTCCATTATACAGTAGTTGATGACCCAAAGGTACCGCCCATATATAGTATATGATGATCCAAGGATACCCTATCATATAGTAGTTGATCACCCAAGGGTACCCCCAATATATAGTATATGATGATCTAAGGGTACCCTCAATATATAGTATATGACGACATAAGGATACCCTCAATATATAGTATATGATGATCCAAGGACACCCCCATTATATAGTAGTTGATGACCCAAGGACACCCCCAACATATAGTATATGATGACCTAATGGTACCCTCAATATATAGTATATGATGACTCAAGGGTACCCCCATTATATAGTACTTTAAACTTCAACCAATTTAACATTTAAAGTTAAAGTGCCGCCCCTAAGTTTGTATGATTTCAAATGATTTCACGTGATTTCAGATGATTTCAAGTGATTTCACGTGATTTCAGATGATTTCAGGTGATTTCAGGTGATTTCAGGTGATTTCAAGTGATTTCAGGTGATTTCAGATGATTTCAGGTGATTTCAAATGATTTCAACTTGATTTCAGCTATTGAAATCAGTTTGTTCCCCCTTGCCCACAAGCCTGAAATACTTTAAAAATCAAAGTTTTTATAAAAAGAGTTTTTTCTTCAGCCTGAGGCTGAAGAAAAACCGATGTAATATCCGTAAATTTCATCATAAAATCAATAAACTATAGTGCATTTAAGAGTGGACACTTTGCTTTATATATCGAGCTATAAATTAAAAAGTCAATAAATGCGAGCAAAATTGATTTTTTCTGAGGGAACGACCTCAATAGAGTCAGTTCATCATAAGAGATAAGTTCATATCTAGTGCAAATCAGCCCATAATGCTCTACTGACAGAGATAGAAAACTACTTCGAGAATGGAAGAAAAGATATGTAACTCCTGAACCTTGAAGAGCTGTATGAGTAGAGGTTCAAAAAGATCCTGTATCTTGTCTCTCTTAAACCTGTTAAGACCCTCTCCCTCAGAAACGATTTCCCACTTTGGATAGTACATTTGAGCTGAAACTTTCAGAGATGACTTATGCTAGAGAGATACGCTTCTTGTAAAAATTTCAGCTCGATTGGTTGTACTAGACCGGATTTCCAGCTGATTCATAGGCCATTTTTGGCCTTCAGGAGAACTAATATAACTTCCTCGTAAAATGAGGTAGTGAGCTTGGGGTGATTTCAAATTAAAGCTAATATTAGTGCGCAGCTTTTGTCCGACCAGAATTTTGAAGGGTGTGTGTGTGTGTGCGCGGATGTGGGTGTAAACCTTCTCCTTAATCACACTCACAGCCACACCCCTACCCGCACCCACATCCACACGCACACGCACACCCCAACCCGCACCCACGTTCACACGCGCACGCGCACACCCTAACCTGCATCCACATCCGCACCTACACCCACACCCTTTTTTTAGATGAGCTACGATATCATATAACATTGAGAGGTAGGACAAAAATTTTTTTACACGTTGAGTTGAGTTGAGTTGAGTTGAGATAACTTATTTCGAGAAAAAATAAATACTATCAGTTATTATGAGTATGAGCACTTTTGAGATGAGATGAGTTGAGTTGAGTTATGAATGTTATTAGTGTGGGTCAGAGAACTACGTTGTCTGATTCAATAGGGACAGAAACTTTCGTGCCATAGCGAAGCAGTGTAGTACTAGGGAAGGCCTCTATGTGTCGTTGGTTCTAACCGTTCATACGGCATACCTTCGACCATTGTCCTACCAGTCCGGCGTGGTCCGCCTGTGGTACCTATGGCATTGGCAAGGGATCTCTCACTTGTCGCGCGCGCGCGCGGATAAGCCAAAATCAGCCGAGAAAAATCGAAACGATTAGTAATGTGAATAAATTTATTGAGCAAGCAAAAACAACCGTTTACATTTTCTTTTTAACATGATCAATGTTATCTTTCGTTACTTTAATTAGAGGATGTGTTGATGGAAGTGATTTTTGACGGATAACAAGTGCCTTTTCTAAGAATGAGAGTGCTTTCGAGTAGTCTTCTTTGTCGGAATACGCCATACCGATGTTATCGTAAGAAGTAGCTAAATCTGGATGGTTCGGAGACAGAACTTCTTCTCTTATTTTAAGTGCTTTTTCGTAAAATTCAAGTACTTTCGAGTAGTCACCCATGTTCTTATACACGAGACCGATGTTGTTGTAGGATTGAGCCATATCGGGATGATTCGGAAGCAGAGCTTTTTCTCTTATTTGATGTGATTTTTTGTAAAATTCAAGTGCTTTCGAGTAGTCACCCATGTTCTTATACGCGATACCGATGTTGTTGTAGGAAGTAGCCAATGAGGGATGATTCGGCGGCAGAGCTTTTTCTAAGATTTGATGTGCTTTTTCGTAAAATTCAAGTGCTTTCGAGCAATCACCAATGTTGTTATACACGAGACCGATGTTGTTGTAGGAAGTAGCCAATGAGGGATGATTTGGAGATAGAGCTTTTTCTTTTATTTTATGTGATTTTTCGTAAAATTCAAGTGCTTTCGAGTAATCACCCATGCCATCATACACCGAAGCGATGTTGTTGTAGGAAGTAGCCAATGAAGGATGATTCGGAGGCAGAGCTTTTTCGAGGATTTTATGTGCTTTTTCGTAAAATTCAAGTGCTTTCGAGTAGTCACCCATGTAGTTATACACTTGACCGATGTTGTTGTAGCATATAGCCAAATTGGGATGATTCGGAGGCAGAGCTTTTTTCGTGATTTCGAGATCTTTTTCGTAAAATTCAAGTGCTTTCGAGTAGTTACCCATATTGTTATACACGAGACCGATGTTGTTGTAGGAAGTAGCCAATGAGGGATGATTCGGAGGCAGAGCTTTTTCTGAGATTTTATGTGCTTTTTCGTAAAATTCAAGTGCTTTCGAGTAGTCACCCATGTTGTTATATACTTCACCGATGTTGTTATAGGAAGTAGCCAAATCGGGATGATTCGGAGGCAGAGCTGTTTCTCTCATTTTAAGTGCTTTTTCGTAAAATTCAAGTGCTTTCGAGTAGTCACCCATGTCATCATACACCAAAGCGATGTTGTTGTAGGAAGTAGCAAAATTGGGATGATTTGGAGGCAGACCTTTTTCGTAGATTTTATATGATTTTTCGTAACATACAAGTGCTTTCGAGTAGTCAACCATGTTGCTATACACGAGACCGATGTTGTTGTAGCATATAGCCAAATTGGGATGATTCGGAGGCAGATCTTTTTCGAAGATTTGATGTGCTTTTTCGTAAAATTCAAGTGCTTTCGAGTAGTTACCCATATTGTTATACACTTGACCGATGTTGTTGTAAGAAGAAGCGAAATGAGGATGATTCGAAGGCAGAGCTTTTTCTGAGATTTTATGTGCTTTTTCGTAAAATTCAAGTGCTTTCGAGTAGTCACCCATGTTGTCATACACTGCACCGATGTTGTTGTAGGAAGTAGCCAATGTCGGATGATCTTGGGGTAGAGTTTTTCGATTGATTTCGATTGATTTTTGGTAAAATGAAGCTGCGTCTGCATATTCCCCTCTGTCTTTTTTCACCCATCCGAACTGGTCATAGATATATGCTTTATCGCTGTCGTTGGATGCTTGTTCTAGTAGTGCCGTGTATAATTTTTCGGCCTTGTCAAATTGACCAATCTTGAGCAGCAATTGACCCAGTCGATACCATCCAGTGCCGCCTACCTCTTCTCGTATACGGTGGGTTAATTGACGAAGCTCTTGATCGTCATCTGAGGTAAGTTTAAGGTCCACTTGATAAAGTAGACTTTTCTTGTCAATTTTTCTAATTTCACCAATTCGAAAGACGGTGTGCATGGAGAAGAGAGTTTCCTCTTCATCCTTGTAATAACTCACCTCCTGGATAGAGGCGAAAGGTGTCGATGAAGCTGTGGAATCGATGGTTATGTGAAAAAGGATACCAACCATATCGGTTGCTTCTAAGGTGCTTTCGGCGAAAGCGAAGGAGACATCAGGATCTGTGCTGGTGGATAAAAAATTATTAAAAGATATGAGACCACCTTTGTTTTTTGCGAGTTTATCGAAGTCGCTTGTCGATAATCCTTGGCCTCTATAAACTAGAAACGATTTCCCATGATATTGACTGACCTGTTTGCTGTATAAATCTTCAATTTGTCGATGAACATCACACAGGAAAAATCCCATTCTGATGATAATGTCGCCATCCAATGTTCGTAAGGCCCGATTGAGCATGTTGAACGTGAAGCATGGACGTGTATACCACCATAATGCCAGCGTTGGATGATAAGCACTTTGAAATTCATCGATTAACTCGAGTCCTTTGGTATTGTCCTTGTATTGTTCTTGGCAATATGTAACGAAGTCTTTAATGGCTTCTTGGCCATGTTCCATATCAAGGAGAATTTCCTTGAATATTTGGGTATACATGAAGGAAGATGGTAGCTGATTGAGATTTTCGCTAGAGCCACCTTCATTTGCACCAATGATGCTTATAGAAGTGGTATTCTGATTGCATTGCTTGATAGCTATTTGCAATGCTTGACATATGGAGTCAATTGTAGTATGAACACCTTTAATTTTTGTCCAATTTTTGGTCCATACATCATGATGTTGTTTGTTGCTACATAAGATGTATATAGCATCTAATTTTGGCATGTAATGAATATCTGGTATGAGATGTTGTCCAAGTACACCGGAGGAGATAACAAATGATGTTTCCTCCTTATTTTCATTGAGATGTTGAATACATTGTTCAGCTGTTGTGCAAGGAGTGACTTGGTTAACGACACCGCGCAATTGTGTGAGTGTATGTTGGCAATCTTCATTTGTCATATCAATATTTTCATTGACCCAGATGACGAAATAGTTTTCAGACATGTATCGTCTTTGTTGCCCACTCATTTTGAGTAAAACGTTTGCTGGTTGATCGAGAATTGAGTGTGATTCAATAATAAAAATTGCTATTTGGACAGATTTTACCTTTTCTATTTATACAGTCGATGTGCGTTGTTTTTTCTGAATTTTTTCACGACGTCACATGTGAGTATTTTTTTTTCGTTGACACTGAATAACAAACGTTATCTAGTTTCAATCGAAAATATGGTTGTAAACAACAAATGAAAGGAAAAAAACCCATCAACGTCATTTATTTTATGATTATTTCTTTCCGACTTGCATGTATTTGTCATGCGTGCGATAACTCCAATGTTATTGCATTAGATACCTTGTCTCATACGTTGTTAATTTTGAAGAACCTTGTTTTTCTCTTTCCAACAAGAACGAAAAAACAAACAAGGACATCATCGATTTGATTTTTTTTCTCGTTATGCATATGATAACCATGCTGATAATATGAACGAAACAACAAGGAATATAATTTCAAGTTTAACCGAGACAACGATCTAACAACGGTTTCTACTTGCCAAATATGCTGCTGATCATTAACTAATGATTGAAGTAAAACAACTGCTCTTATTATACTTAACTCTGAGTGATATGTATGTTAATGATTGTTATTAAATTGAATTTTCAAGATAGAAAATAATGTTTTTTTTTCTTTGTTTAGATCCAATTTTTTTGAATAAATAACTTGTTCTTGGCTTTTTTTGTTTTACAAAGATATACTAGTCTTTATTTTTGTTGTACCATTGAACAAGAAGATAATGAATTATTAACATTTGAAGCAATTCATCGTTATGTTGAATTACTTGATAAATATTTCGGCAGTATAAGTAAATCTAATTTCAAATTCTTCTATATATAAGACTATAGAAATAAATAGATCTGTGAACTTAATATTATGTTCAATTTCGAAAAGGTTTATTGCATCTGTGATAAATTCATATTGGATGTGAAATTCAAGAAACAAGTAAAAAAAAGTGTATTCAAAGCAATTAATCATCGAGATGTTATTCAACAGGTAAGATGTTTTTTTTAGAAATTCGTTTTTTTGAATTTTGAGTAAAAAAGCTACTTACACATATCTACATTTAAGATATAGCAACAAAAAGAAATACGAAATAATTTCCAATAAACACAATAAATCAAAACACACATTTGCTGTATATAATTCACAAGATGGTCAACTACAAGAAATACTTTGTGAAAACGGATTACTTTGATTTTTTTTTTGTTTTTCATTGTTCTCCATATAAATTATTGGAGGATGCTTGTTTTGCATTTTAATTCTCCTTCTTCTTCTTCTTCTTTATATAATGATTGATAAGAATGATACAATCATAGGCATATATCTTTGCTTTATAGCCTCTCTCTATATGTTTATTTCTCGGAAGAAACGCTACAAAATTTCTTCGAAGATCATGGTCTTAGATAATGAAATCTGCTATTATCGTGATATACATATACTATATAACACACACATACACTTTTGCATGTGTTTTTATTTCCTTTTCTGTTGCTTCTTTGCCATCATAGATATATTATTAATTGATTCCTTGCGTTTATTTTGTTTAGTCAGATTAAATATTTGTCAAAAACAATTACTTTTATTCTTCTTCTAATTGTTGTTTCCATCAACAGTTACATTTCTTTTTCTCTTTGTTAATTTGGATTTCGTTAGCTTTTTTTGTATTTCATACGTACACTTACAAATGGAATACACGAACACATTATGCATAAAAAGGATATAATTTTATACTTTTGATGTACATAGATGGTGTGTGAATAAGCTTTCTTGACTTTGAGTTAGATAGTTATTAGCTTAAGAATTCTGTTTGACTCTATTTTTTTTTCTTAATTTTTTAGAAAGAACTTAAAGAAAAACGTAGTGTTCTTGGAGATCTTGGCTTGAGTGAAATAATGAACAAAATCTCTTTTCTTTTTTTTTAATCCTGACGCAAATGTACTTGATTTCTTGATCTCATATCGTTTTGTTGTACGTTCATATTGTGCATGTTTAATTATTTCATCGTCTCAAAAGTAGAAACTTGAAAATGATAGAATCTGACTGGTTGTATCTTCAAATAAATTTTGATGATTTAATTGATAATATGTTTTTTTAGTTAGATAAATGATTCAAAATTTATCAATTAATCAAATTTATCATTCATTGAGAATATTGGATATTGAAACGAGTTGTGATGATACAGCAGCAGCTGTTGTTGATGGTCAACGAACCATTCTAAGTCAATGATGGAGTGGTATTGTACTAAGTATTGCAAAAAATCATCATTATGACAATTTAGTACCAATTGTAGCTGAAATTATGAAGGATATTGAATGGAATGTAAGTCAATTAAATATCTAACATCAATTTCAAAACAAGAATAAAACATAGTTGTAAATTCATTGTAAAAAAAATCATGTTTATTTAGTGTTGAAATTGATCATATTGACATATTTAATAGATTTCATTGAATTCTTATTTAGTCTAGTCGATAGCTGCCACTGCTACAACTGTTAAACCCGGTCTTGTTATTTCACTTTGGCAAGGAATAAATTTTACTCGTCAACTTTTTCAAAAATATACACATCTATCATTCATTCCCATTCACCATACGGAACCACATGCATATACAATTCTGTTGAAATGTGTGGATGTATAGTTTTCATTTGTAGTGTTCCATTTCCATATATGGTTTTATTAGTCAGTGAAGACCATTGTATTTTTGGTATTGTGGAAGATGTTGATAAGTTTTAACGACTTGGTGAAGCATTTGATAAAGTTAGTAAAAAGTTTCTTTTTTATCGTAGATGAATATCGAGAAGTTTCGTATATTAAATATAGAGTACACATGAAATGAAATTACATGAACATCCACTTGTTCAGGATATGACAGGAGGAGTAGTGATTGGATAGTTACCATGCGAAAGCGATGAAAAATTATATCAATTAATAACATCAAAATATTCAGCTAAAATGAAAGATTGTTCATTTAGTTTTGGTAGTATGTTATCACAAATTCAACGAGTCATTGGAAATGAAAATATTTCTTGTGGTATGTATTTTTATCTCTTATTACAAACAGTAATAATATTTATGATATTATACATTCAGGATCATCAAGTATAGATGAACAAAAAAAAGATTTTGCTGCATGTGTTCAAACAAGCATTGTCAGACATAGAAATTCGTGTACATCGAGCAATATTATTCTGTGACACTGTTCAAAAGCTACAATGGAAACAAAGATTAGTATGTCAAAAGACAAGAATTTTATTTTTATTTTTTTATAGTATATCTATTTTAAGTTCCTGTTGGTGGTGCTGCAAGTAATTTATATCTTCGACAACGAATGAATGATCTATGTAGTCATTATGGAATTGAACTTGTTTGTCCATCAGTAGAATTTTGTACTGATAACGATGGAATGATTGCTTGATAAAAATTATATATATGTAAATACATCGTTTTTTTAATACATCAGATTTATTATTTTCAAAGGAGCGGCATCGAACAGTAT